ATGCTAGTGCTGTAAATATGCAAGATATGAAAGCCATGAGAGTGGATATGATCACTTAGGGAGATTGTGGAGAACAAGGAGAGAAGAGCGCAGTGCCATGGTCCCCCACAAATCTGACACTTCAGGAAAGATCAAGTCAAGTAGGAAGATCTCAGCACTCCCATGAAATAAGGTTTTTTTTTTTAATTCACACATTTTTTCTTGAATGCATAACAGAAATTGGAGTGTTAATATCAAAGATCAGGCAAATTATATAGTAAACCAATTTCACTTTATATTTTTTTGATTACCAGAAATAAAGTTAAGCATAGAATGTATAATGATGACATTAATAAATTGCATGATCAACATCATAACTAATAAATAGTGCTTTGTGAAAAATCTAACATGCCCAAAGTGGGAAGTATCATGGCCCCCCAAAAAGTTGCTAGTGATCCATCTTGCAGTTGCTAGTTTTCAAGATGGAGAAAAGTGGCCACTACTCAAGGAATGAGTTCTGTTTTCAAGTATCTCTTCAAAATCTCTTGCATAAAGCTTGCTTTTCAGTGCTTCTTTAATTCCAATGTTTAGTCATGGTTTGATGTTTACTCTCTTTAGGTTTTAACTTTTCAAAGGCATACTACTTCTAAAATACTTTGTCATTGACACATATGGGGTGCCTTCTTTCTTTCATCTCCAATGAATATATATATATATATATATCTTTCATGTATGAGAATATATCCTCCCTAACATGATTTTACAAGGATTCAAAATGCTCTCACAAAACATCTTCAAATATTTGTCAGAATTATAAAACTGAAAATATTTTCTGTGGTTATATATTTTCAGAATCAAAATGCTACAGGATAACTTGGTGCAGTCACAGGCAGTCTCTAAAGTTCTTCGGCAAGTAACAGACAAAACCCTGGCTCTGGAGGATCATTCTCTTGAGTCTCTCTCCATTCCCTTTCCTTTACGGTGGGCTGTGGCAAAGACTGACCACAGAGCTTAACGCGATAGTCAGGTAATGCTATATTCAGAGCAAATGCTTGACCAAACATTAAGAAAATGCTGCGAAACACATTCATAATAATTAACAAATGTTCATATATATATTATATATACATATATTCATATATGAATGAATTTAAGTATAACAAAACATTTACAATATTTTTACTGTACCTTTCTTTCCCTTTTGGCATCTCAAATACTCTTTTTAATATATCTGGATTGTGAAAATGTTACAATGTGAACTAATATATGTGCTTTCTCACATAGTAATGTGAAGCTCACACCTCAAATTCTAGCCTGTTACAGTCTTGTAGCATGTTTTTCAACTTTCATCAAATTCATCCTGAAAATTGTCATCATCTAAAGCTACTGTGTTCACAGTATTTTTCGGTATGATTCCAGGATACTGAGGCATATTATAAGATAACTAAACCTAGGATAGAACTAACCTGCACAAAACTATTAGCACAAACGGTACAAAGTGGGTAAGAAAGCATTCTAGGAAATACAAATACAAATAAACAAGTAGCTTTGAAGTTTTTGTTTCATTTAACACCTGCAAATTCTGAATTCTTAGGAAAATGGCTATAGCTTTTTAATGCTAACAACTTAAAGTAAAAATGCTGGCAGCACTTTTCTATATAATCCAGATTTCATTGCTTGAAATTATATTCATTTTATTTTGAATTATTACTAGTATAAATAAAAATCATGGACACACATTTAGAGAAATACTGATAACTACTATTTGTTTCAAGAATAAGGAAATTCAAGATTTAGAAATCTAAAATCTAGCCCATTTCTCCAGACACAGGTTCTTTAGGGACAGAGATTACACATAGTTGCATATTTTAGAGAACCCTTGAGTTAAATGCAGAACCAAGCCTAACCAGGCCATTGGCCCCAAACTCCTATCTTTTTCCCTATTGAACTAGGACTAGCATGTGAACTTGTGGCAAAGATTGTGTTCTTTATATGTTATACTACTATGAAAAAACAGGATTTATAAGTATTTCTTATGAGCCCTGCTCTAAGTACTTTTCATGTACTAATTACTTTAATTTTTATGACAACCATAAGACTGATTTTACAGATGATAATACTAAGGCTTACAGGAGACAGTAATTGTCTCATGTCACTCAGCTAAGGTAATGAAGTGAGGATTTGCATCCGGACAGTTCTATTCCAGAGAATACACTTTAGCTATTATAGTCCATTGTCTATGTCAAGGTGCTGAAGAAGTCTGTGGATAGAGAGAAGAGAAACACAAAGCAATTCAAGAGGAAGAAGTGCCAACATTCATTTCACAGATAAATGGATGCCTGCAACTCACAGCTCCTATTAAAGTTTAGATCTAAAGTGCCTCCCCAATTCAAGTTGTTTGGAAGGTCACTGGAACATGGGGCGGGGGGGTGGCTGTGCTCATCAGTGGGTTTCTGCATTGAAGAGTTCAGTAGCTAAATGTTCAGCAGTTATCAGGTGGGGTCTAATTAGAGGTGGGTCACTAGGTGTGGGACCAGGAAGGGTATGCTATGGGCCCCAGCTCCTCCTCACTCTGTTTCCTGGCTGCCATTGGTTAAGCACCTTTTCCTCCACTATGCCCCTCTGTCACTCCCTGTCTGCCTTGTCAACCAAACAGTGAAGCCTGGCCTGAAATAAACCCCTCCTTTAAATTGCAGAAGTTGGGATTTTTGTCCCAGCAATGGGACAGTGGCAAAGTCAGCTCCTTTCTCAGAAAGCCTTGCTCCCAAGCACCTAAAGTTTGATTACAGAATATAGGAACTTTTACTCTTTGGGATAGTTGCATTAATGTATATTTTTTTTAATATTGCAGGAAAATATTATTAATTTGGGGGAGGAGTTTGTTTCTCCATTAAAATTGTGCCTCAGCTAGCGCCTCACATGCCACTCTAGTCCCAGCTCTCTTAAAGTTATAAGATGTTGCATCACAGAAATGTATCCCACTAAGCCAGTGCTATAAAGGTCAGATAAAAATAACACAATGTCACTAACAGTGTCACTTCACCATGTGCACAACCCCTATAAAATGTGGCAACTGTCAAAGTCAGCACTGGAGTAAACTTACAGAAATCTAAGTCCACTGTTACAGGTTCTACTACAACTTCTCTGAAATAGAAATTTAATTTTTAACATGAAAATATTCACAAATGTTCACAAGATTCTCACAATCAGTGTAAAACAGGCAATTGCCAAAATGCTTATGTGAAAAGTTTACAATGTTTCTGTTTTCAATATTTGATAAGAATCACTGTATAGTTCTTCCTTTCCAGGAGAAATAGAAATGACATAGTACTCAGCTATAAATGAAATGTATGTATATTTAAAAACTTTTGCTTTTATTACATAATGGTATCATTATTATAAAAAATTCTGTCATAAATATAAGAAAAAATAAAAATTTTCCATAAATTTATGGCCTAAAAATAAATCAGGTTTTTTTCTGTAGGAATATGAAAATAATTATATGACATCATGTGTTAATATGACATTTTTAGCTTAAAATTTTCTGTGAACTTATTTCTACACCATGGTTTTAAATAACTACTTTAATACTTTATTGTGTGAATTTTAAGTATTTGATTTGACCCTCATTTGGACTAAAATGCTGCAGTCTTTCTTGTGATATAAGGGCACTCCGATAATTACCCTCTCTCTACACATTTATCTAAATCTGTCCTCGTCATAAATTCATACAAGTGAAATTGATGAGGTAAGGAATGTAAAGAACTATTTCTATAAATAGAAAACTTTCAGCAAAAACTGTACCAACTCGTCTTTACTAAGAAAAATGCCTCATTTTCCTTTATTCCAATCAGCCTCTTACTATTCTTTCTGGTTTTCAACCAGGAGACAAAAACTGCCTTACTTCGTATACTTTGTTACTCCTATACACACTTTTGTTTGACTCGTTCGTTTGCAGTTTTTCTGTAGTGTATTCTTTACTCTTGTCCTTTTCTTGTATTTATGTTATCATTTAATACTTTTCTTTTTACTTAATACTGTTACTAATTATTTATATTATTAGTTCTGTATCAGTTATTCTTCTAAATTTTAATAATGACAATAAACCATATTAAATTTTAAAATATTCCTATGTTCAAACTCATGTGTTTGTTCCTTGAGCTTTAGAAAACTCTTTATATAAATATTCATTGTATTTTGTTCTGACATACTTAAAAGTTTCATGTTTCCATGTTAATATTTAACTCATCTGTACCTTAGTTTTGTGGAAGGTGTGAGGTGTATTCAATTTACCATTTCTATTCCAGATTCAATTTGCCAATTCTATTCCACATGATAACTTTGAATTGCCATTCCTACCACGTTAGTATACCCTACATCTATGCGACTGTTTGTATTTCTTCTCAGTTTCACAGATCTTTCTGTATAGTCTGGCCCAAACCTTCTGCAGAACTATTTTTATGGATTAATAGTAAATATAACAATCTGGTGAGGGCATTAGTCTTGTGTAAGAAATAAAACGTCTGGATATTCATTAAGTTATTTTCCAGAGAAACTTTAGGATCATTTTGACACATTCTAAAAAATGGTCTGCTGGGAATTTGATTAAAATGTGTGAAGTTTATAGGTTAATTTGAAGAAAGTTGACTTCTTCCTCTCCAGTAACATCTTTATCCTCACTGACTCAAATTTTTTTCTATTACCCTCAGTAAAATCTGGCCACATTCTTCAAATAGTCCATCGTATTTCTTATTAAACTTATCCAAATCTAATGTACATTTTGTTACTATTCTGAAGGAATTTCCCCACACATTTTAACTCAATATTTATACTGAATATTTTGTAAAACATCATGTTAAAATTGAAAGAATATGATTTCCCATTGGTGCTTATTTCTATTTTTGCCTCTGCTGTCTACTGGTCCTAAAAACTTGGATAAGTTTCTAAATATATGTGGTCTTTCCTCTATGAAGGAGAAAGGAACCAATCTTGTTTACATTTCAGGGCTCCCAGGAGATACAAGTCAAGCACTACACTTAGTAACACATCACAAGGAGGAGAGAGTGATCAGCAACACACTCCAGGTTTTCCGAGATCCTGAAAGCAGACACCTGAAAAGTAACAACTTGGCAGCAAGAAAAACAAACAAACAAAGAGAAGTAGATCACCGGGAATTGTAAAGGAACTAAACCTACAGAGAAGCTGGAGACATGGACCACCAGCGGAGAATACCAAGCAATCTGAAAGCTCTGCTTGACTCCCCATGAGGTATAATATCATTATGTCCTATAAATTTATACTATTTAAAAAATCACACTATAAACAATGTGAATGTGACAGTGGTGTATAAAAAACACTAAATGTTTCTCTACAAATTAAAAGGTATATTCTAAGTGTAAAACAGTTAAGCCATCAAATACATAAAAGTGTCACAAAGCGAGGGTGTATTTTAATGGTAACTTCACTTTGACTGCTTAATATCTCTATTATTACCACACTTTAAAACTAAACATCAAATTTTTAATGATAATAGTAATTATCATTATCAAAATAAGAGTGATATGAAGTTGTTTCCTCTTGGCTGTGTAACACAAAAATCAACAAGACAGTATTGATTTGTGGATCTTTTACAACTCACCAGAAAAATAAACTCTAAGGAAAAGAGCAGGTTTGAAAACAGAGAGATCATGAAAAAACAATCTACTTGGGGATTGCCTACTCCACTATACATTTATTTCCCACCAACCTATTGCTCTGAAACTTTCCCCAGGTAAACATTTTTCATCCACTGAGCTTCATCAAAAGGGGGATTTATCTAATTTTCAGATAATTTAATCAATGAAGGAGATTAGAGAAAATGAGGGAGAAAATTACTTTATTTAAATACCTACATCATAGCTATTTGTTTTGACTATATTGAGTTAGATACTTTACTTAGAATCATCAAACTTATAGATTCTTCTTTTAAAAATTTGATTAGTGGAAACATTCTAAACATCTGTAGCCTTCTGCCTTTCCTCTGACAATACAAATGTCTACTTACTGTGAAGAATTACAACAACACATTCAATAATTTTAAATAATCACCTCTACCCCCAAATGCATTACAATTTTCGGGTAAAGGTAAATTGTTCTCATGTCTTACCTCATAACTCACCACATAATTTAACATATATTTGTCCTGTTTAGTTTCACTCTGATGTCTTTCAGGAAGTCACTAAGTTTGGTGTGATAAGAAAATTATGTATTACACTCATTGTAGGTATTTCTATTTAAATGTCCTGTGGTCTCTTAGAAGTCTGAAAGAGTGATTTTACTTACTGAATTTTACTTCTCAAAAAATTTGTCAAAATTCCAAAGACTTCCATGTTTTAAGTCACTAAGATTTTTTTAACTGAAAAGAGAAGTTAAAATAAAAAGCCTTGCAAGTAGGATGTAATAATACATCTAATTTAAAAGGGATTAATCATTACCAATTTAGCATCAAAAGAATTGTCAAGCAAAAAGAGTTCCATATGGGCTATGTCACAGAAGGCTAAAGATGATCCACTCACCTCCCCCTTTCCCCAATTATAGATGAAAAGAAGAATAAGTAAATCAACTTGAACCTCTGAGGAACATGTGGGTTTCTTTTAAATCAGGCCTCTCTGAACAGGATTCACTCTGTCAGTCACTGAGAAACATGGGGGCTGATCTATCTATGTTTTCACAGTAGGGCACTGAAGAAGCCACTTGCAACATGCACATTCAGCTACCCACATGTGGTCCTTCTCAGAACTTCCCGGATTGATTTGATCTCCTCCAGCATGGCCTCTGGCATGGGAAAGCTGTATTCATCCTTCCTTCCCATTTTACTTTTTTGGTTCCACCACAAAAAAATGTTCTGCGCTACAGTTAAAGCACGGTTCTTTCTGCACACAATGAGCAAGTACTAAAGGGAAAAGACAAGGGAGGAAAGCAATGTGTAGAGCAAATTCAGCGACTTAACAGTAGGACGGGCAGGCCTTTCAATACCACCAGCCTCTCTGTGATAATGAATGGTTGGCTGACTCTATCTCAATGTCAATTATCTAATACGTAAAGTAGATCGGTACACTTGCCTCTTGTTGTTATTAAAAATATTTAGACTGCGTTAAAGTCCCTACCACACCATAGATTTTGTCATTTTATACTAATCTACCAAGATACTTCTGGGGGAAGGGGTAATAACCACAATAGACATATATATA